TGCCAAGTTTACCGGTTTTCAATGTAGGTAACTTGGTTTTTTCAAATAGGAATACCACTTTATTTTCATTCCAATAAATTTAATGCTATTGTTAGTGAAACATCTGGTTATCATATCCCTATTTTACGCGGTTTGTGCGCCCTCCTTTTTGTTCAAAGGCCTGGCAATGGGTCAAATAATTTCCACAACGGCCTAAAATTATGATTACAAAATTGAATCGGGCATCAATAATAATTACTCCTCTGCAGAAAATTTCATAATTCTATTTTAGGCCGCTCTGGAAATATTTGATCGTTCCCGGACTTTTAAAACATAGTGTATATACAGTGTGTCCCGCTTAAGGACTGATCACCCTTCTAAAATCTTTATTTTTTAACCGATTCAATTCATTTTTTTTTGTCTAATAGCTACTCAAATTTTGCACTTATTTGGCTCATAATTTTATTTCTGCGACTGTTTTGGTGTACAGGGTGTCCACATTTATAGGCTCAAATTTCAATAAGCACTATTAGGGATTTTTTTAGAAAAAATCTGATAGCAGATTCTTGTTTAGAATGGTCTAAAACCGAAATGTACTAATTTTAGTTTCAATACGATATGGGGTGATCACAACAAATTTTCACAATTTAATGAATCAAACCGCAAAAATGTTATATTTTGAGACAAGCTTACCACAGGTTTTGGTTAAGAATGTTCTAAAACTATGTTGTATCGAGTTTTGTTGTTCTCAAGGCCTCAAAATATGACATTTATCCGGTTTGGACCATTAAATTTTAAAAATTTGTTGTGATCAGCCTGTATCATATTGAAACAAAAATTAGTACATTCGGGTTTTAGACCATTCTAAACAAGAATCTGCTTTCAGATTTTTTCTAAAAAAATCCCTAATAGTAGGTACTTATTGAAATTTTAGCCAATAAATGTGGACACCCTGTACACCAGTACAGCCGCAGAAATAAAATTATGAGTCAAATAAGTGTCAAATTCGAGTAGAATAAGACAAAAAAAAATAAATGAATCGGTCAAAAAATAAATTTTTTAGAAGGGTGGTCAGTCCTTAAATATATATAAATTTGAGGCTCGGAACGGAGATTAATATCCGGTGAAGCTCTCGTAATGCATACGTCATTTCGGTCTCTAGAACGTACAATTATATACTCGATTAGATGTCAGTGCTCTGACCTAGGATGTTGCCTGGAAGTCTTGAATTTGATCTTTTGACAAAAAAGTGTATTCGTTATTTCAAGGTCATATTCTGAGCATGTGGTTGGTAGCTAAAATCCGTTCGAGTTGATTTTTCCGACGGTTCCTTGTCGATCACGCCTTTCCGTAGATCTGACTCTGTAACTACCCGGGTGCCAAGAACAAGTTTATCAAACCTAGGTACAGATTATATGGTTTGACTGGGCAAAAAATTCCTGTTTTATTCAAGTTTGGAGTAGTCTCCCTATATGTACACTCAAGGCTACGTTCTACGTTGTCAATCTTGTTATCGTTATGGCTAGTAGGGTACCACCACCATCAAAGGGATCATGCAAAGAGCTCTTAGCATGGTCGAAAGATAGTGTATATTTTGTTAAAACAATCTCTACTGACACCTGACACCCCATTCGTATTATCTTTCCGATATTGCTACTACACGTATGGTAAAATTAATAGGTATATTATACAAAGGTTGCCTATCATCAAAGCGAAATTCATTTTACAATATGAAAGAGTATGATATTCATATGTCAAGAGATCCAAATTGGCAGAGATAGGTATCCAGTCTTTATGAGTAAATATGATACTCCAGCAGGCAAGTGCTTTCTGCTGGAAAGTATTCCGAAGCTAATGATAGTTTGGTATATCATTTGTGGGTAATCTGTGGAGTAAAGTCTGAATTTTCGACCTCGAGGACCCTGTGCTATCTTGGGGGGAGTCGAAAAACCGCGTAGTTTTCGGACTTTTTCAGTTTTTTGCTTATACTTTCTAAACCATGCGGTTTGGCGGAATACATTCAGTTATAAAGTTGAAGAACATTAAATTTCCTTCAAATTTCACTAGTCAAATCTATTATTTAATGCAATCGTATAACAAAAATACAGTGGTTCAAAGATACAGAAAAATTCTCAACTTGTCAAAAATTTCCGGCCAACCACAATTTAAACCAAGCATGGGAAAAGCATATTTTATCATCTTTTTTCGCGTTAACCGCAACTAAAACCTCGAAAATTTCGGATTTTTCCAGTTTTTTGCTTATAACTTCTCAACAACAAAGATGAAGAATTTCAAATTTCCTTTAATTTTTATTTTTTTTTTGAAAAAATTAATTTATCATCAAATATCAGCTTACAATTTTTTATCTATATAAAGAATCCTTTAATTAGTGCCTAATGAACTGGTCTTAAGGATAGTTTCCTAACACAAACCCAAAAACCTACTGGCAACAAGAAACAATAAAATATTCAAAATTGTATTAAATTTAGGAAACGATAAACAATAAATCATCTGTGTGTATTGACTTTCCTAAACTCCAATATTTATTTTCACCTCCTCAATAAACCTAGCGTCATAATTTATATTTTTAATATTTATGGGATTGTACAGCCCTTTGTTCCTTCTTATATTTGTTAAGTACTTATATGTTATCACATGTTCTTGTACCCACTATACGTGTGTATATTATTTGTCAATATAATGTTTATATTGGTTTTATGTTTCCTATTAAGTATCCTATACACCAGTTCACATTGCTCAACCCTTAGTAGTTTTGCATGTCACGCACACCTAGCTCCCTGTAAAGAAATTTTGTATGTGTGCGTCTATTGTATTCAAAAAGAATTTCCGATATTTTGTTTTGTAAAATTTTCACGTTATTGAACTCGACCACTCCACACGTCCCCCACACAGGGAGTAGGTACCTGAGATGCGACAAAAAGTATGCATAATATACAGGCGTCTCTGTTTTCCTGCTAACAAAATTCCTTATACGGTATATGCAACTAATCATAGGCATTACTTTATTTATTAAATTATTTACATGGTCCCTCCAATTAAGATTGCAGTCCATTATCAAGCCCAAATACTTAATATTTTTTTCTCTTTAAATGTCCATATTATCTATTTTAATAGTAGGAGAACGAGTTATTTCGTTTTCTTGTTTATATAAAATAAATTTAGTTTTTCTCCAAACGTCAGAAAAACTTCACTTTGTTAACTCCTGTCAAGATGTCAGAAATTTGATTTCTATGCTGCTAGGCAAATCCAGCGCGTTAACACCTGTCGAGGTGCTAGAAATTTAATTTTTCTCCAAACGTCAGAAAAACGTCACTTTGTTAACCCCTGTCAAGATGTCAGAAATTTGATTTCTATGCTGCTAGGCAAATCCAGCGGGTTAACACCTGTCGAGGTGGTAGAAATCTAATTTCTATGCTGCTTGGCAACCCCAGCGGCAGCAAAAGTACTTTTAGTGCCGCTGGAGCGGCAGTAGAAGTACTTTTAGTGCCGCTCGTACTTTTACTGCCGCTCAGCCATTCACTTGCCCCCAAGCTTAATCCATTCGTTTGGAGAAAAAATAGCGTGTTGCATACGGAGTAGAAGCACTTATTTGTGCTTTAGCAGTATTGCAAGCCTCACTACGTTCGGCTCGCAAACCTACTGCTTCAGCACAAAAAAGTAAAGCTTCTACTCCTAATACAACAATATACTATTCTACACTGCTTGGCAACCCAAGCGGCAGCAAAAGTACTTTTAGTGCCGCTCGTACTTTTACTGCCGCTCAACCATCCACTTAACCCCGAGCTTACCCCATTCGTTTGGAGAAAAAATAGCGTGTTGCATACGGAGTAGAAGCACTTTTTTGTGATTCAGCAGTATTGCAAGCCTCACTACGTTCGGCTTGCAAATCTACCGCTTCAGCACAAAAAAGTAAACCTTCTACTCCTAATACAACAATATACTATTTTCCCACATTTATTTTTATAGCCTATTGTATAGCAACCAATCTTTATACAATATTCAATCCCTATTTTCTGCACTATAGACCAATACGATATCATCTGGAAATGTATAATATTCGGCTCTAAGACCAGCCATTTTTAAACTCAAAACATAAAGTTAATAAAGAAGTCCAAGGACTGACCCCTGTGGTACCCCGTATTGTTAATGTTAAGTGAACTTTTTTTTATCGCTGTTTTCTATCCTTTAGATATGATTTCACTGTCCGAAAGTATTCGATCCAATAGTTACTGAGATTCAAAAATTCAAGTAATTTTTCAGATTGTCAAAAATAGCATAGAAATTCAGGATTTTGCCCTATATCCTAAATTTTGCGAACGTCTAGAAACATGTAAATTTCTAAGAATAATTATTAAAGTAGGATATAATGAAAAAATAATTCAGGGCACAGTTGACTATGAGTGCACGTGAAAGAGACGAGGATAAAAGATGTTTATCCCATGCTTGGTATGAATTATGATGTTTGAAATTTTTGACAAGTTGAGATTTTTTTGAATCTTTGAACCACTGTATCTCGGTTACTATTACGCTAAAGAATAGTTTTGACCAGTTGAATTTGAAGGAAATTTAAATTTCTTCAACTTTATAAATAGGTATATTCCGCTAAAAACGAATGGCTCAAAAGTCATAAGCAAAAAACTAAAAAAGTTCGATAATTTTTAGGTCTTTCGACTAATCCCCAAGTTAGCACAGGGTTCTCGAAGTCGAAAACTTAGATTCTACTCCACAGACTATCCACAAACGACATGCCAAAATATTGACTTCGGAATACTTTCCAGCTACCCCCTTTATTTATTACTTCCCTGCTGACCTATAATGTTTAGGATTATTTGCCACAAAGCATGAATATGTTCAAATCAAATTAATCGGTCGTAGATAGAAATGGCAAGTAAAGTAACCTTGGTAAACTATATTATTAGATAAAATTATCCCCCAGAAAAATAATTCATGCATCCGTGGGTTTACCTTCAAAATATTTTAATAACTTTCTTAATTTTCAGGTCGACCCCGACCCCGTGTTATATGGTTTCTCGAAAATACCGTAATTGACGACTCGTTTGAGAACCGTTCTGACGGAGTGGTCGTCAATCACCTGACGTTCCCGAACGTGGGACGCCAACATTTGCATGCAAGACTGATCTGCCAGGCGACCAACAACAACATCGTGCCGCCCGAGACGAAGGCCGTAGTCCTGGACATTAATTGTAAGTAATTTCCGAGGCGGTTTTAAGGATTAAGTCTCTGGAGAATACAGGGATATTCTGGATATTCAACTGTTAGACTGCGCGCGACCGACATTTGAGTAAAATGCGAACTGAGGAAACAAAGTCAAATTTAGAAAAGGTTATCAATGGAGTGCAATGGAAATTATCGATAATTTTTGGAAAATTTGCCCAAATGCATTTTTCAGTTAAAAACGCATGAGTGCAAAGGACCCCGCACCGGATGCATGGGATTTTGGGTTTCGGTGAAAATCCGTGAAATTTTCAAAATTTGTATAAATTAACGTGCTGAATAAAAGTCCAAATGGCAAAACTTTCGTAACTCCCATAGTTTGCCTTTTATAGGCTCTCCTATTTCAGAATCTTAATGATCTATACAGAACGTTTATTGATTGGTTTGTTGATTATTATGGTGTATTTGTATTTGTTTTTTGGGATTCATGTTTTGATGACTGATGCGGTACAGTGTAAAAATTAATAGGAAGGAGATAAAAGGACCCTGTGGCTCGTCATCTCCGCAGTATTTTTCGACTCCAAACCCTCTCCTCCATAGATTAATCCACATAAAAGCTACATAGGTTAAAAGAAGAACATAAGCTTACTACTTTAACATGATGCTGAAGTGCTGCAATGGTTATTTGAATAAGTAACAGTAAATAAAGTGGCCTATTATTAAAAGAACATTATATATTATGTGCTTAATTTTGCGAAAATATATTAGAAGGTTGGGCACTAAGCTAATAAGGGTTACATTATTATGGTGCAAACACTAACAGACTCCTGTGATGATTAATACTGATATTTTTCATTCAGTGAATTATGTTGATGCCGTGATTGACATATGCCTGAGGGTTTCTGTTAGCAGCATCCAAAACAACGTCTAGCAGGATAGAAGACGGGTACTTGACATTGTGATCGTGTCGTGCATATCCCAAATACCACAAAACACTTGCAACGTAGGCACATGTGCTTATAGTCCTTGCACCAGACCTGCATGTGCAATAACATCCCTGAATCGGTTGTTCATCGTCCTGGACGTCTTGGTTAAAGGCAATCCACAGCTGATGTTTTGTGGCGTTTCTAAATCGGGAAAATATTATCAATGTAATCAAACCCGGGTCATTGGCTGAAAGGTCTAATTCTATTATCTCTGTATGGCCCCTCTGTAGTTTGTGCTGTACGTAGGTTGGCGCTAGTTCTAGTTGGTAAGTACCGAATGTTAAATCCCTTAAATAATCAAGAGGCAAGCGTGGAAATCCTGGTAGATGGTTTTCGTCCAGCACTGTCCATTGACCGTTCCTTCTCTGTAAGCCGTCCGCCTCCACTCGTGCTTGTAATACATTTGGCTCATGTAAGCGAGCCAACATTCGGTGAGCAATCTCCAAGGGGGGTTCGGGAATTGGGCCATTAAATCTATTGATTATTGCAGCTGCAATTCTATAAAAATCACGAAGGTTCACTGCGTGCGTTACGGAAATAACGCCCGCGAAAAACTTGGAAATTGTCTTAAAATGTCCATTTCTGGCTTCGATGATCCATCTGGTTTTAGTAACAAGACGGGATGCATTTCCTTCTTCCGTTGTTAATTGTCGCTGATTTCGGGGTAAGGCATAAGGCATCCGATGAGCAATTCCGATATTTTCAAGAAGGGGCACAACATCTCTATACCCCCTGTCCACGATAAAAATATCAACATTATTAAACCAGTTTCTAATCCCGTCAACATCATGTTGAAGCTCAGTGCGTAGCACTGCTGCGACGTTATTTCTAGTATCTGAAAAGTACGATCCAAGTACGCTTAAAGTGTAGTCATTTGGTGCTACAATAAGAGCTGGCTTTAAAAACCAAAGTTTTATCTTACAGAGCTTCGCTCCAATCTGTAGTACTGGATAACAATACCATGGAGGCCGTTGATTCCGTGAAATTCCTGGGGCTTGTTGTTGATAAATCTCTAAAGTGGGACCTGCATATCGACGCCTTAGCAAAGAAATTAAGTTCGGCCTGTTTTGCACTGAGATCTGTTTCCAGGGAGCTTAACTCGGCAACTGGCAGGATGGTATATTATGCTCTTTTTGAGTCGCATTTGCGTTACGCCCTTCCATTCTGGGGCACGTGTTGTGCGTCTCAATTTGAACGCATTTTTAGACTGCAGAAGAGAGCTCTTCGTTATTCTTTGGGACTTGGTAGTAGAACTCACTGCCGGGAATTTTTTATCAAGTCTAGTATATTGACTCTTCCATCTTTATTTATTTTCGAATCCGTCTGCTTAATTCGTAAGCACTTAATATCAGCTATCTCACAATTATCCACTGAGGAACGCAGAGTTGGATCTTTATCTGCCAATCCCGCGCTCAGAGTTAGTTAAAAGTTCAATACTTTATAATGCTAAAAAGATGCATAATCATCTACCGCCTAACATCAGGTCCATTGCATCTTTTCTCGAATTTCGCAGGGCGTTGAAGGTGTATTTACTGAGGAGAGCCTTGTACACAGTAAGCGAGTTGTTTATGGTTTCTTAATTCTAAATTTTGAGCAGCTTACTCACAGGTTTTGTTTTTGTTCCTGTATCATGATAGGTTATTATAAGTTATTGTTTGTTTGTTTTTTTAGTACCTATAATATGCTTACTCGCACAGTATAAGCAGTTAGACCTAGATGTTTGTTTGTTAGTTTTAATCAAATTTTGACCATGAACTATTTGTTCAAGTGTTTGGTTATGTCTGTGCTTTTGCATTTGTATGTTTTGTTTTTTATTTTTTCAGCTTTGTCCACAAAATTGTAAAATTTTCTGACAATAAAGCAAATTCTTTCTTTCTTTCTTTCTTTCTAAAAGATGATGGCCCTTATGGCGACAATATAATTGTTGCAGAACTTAAAAGTTACAACTTTTTTCGATTTTGCTGTAAGTACCGTCAATATACGCAATAGCTCTACGGACTTCAGGTTCAGGGTTATACAGCGCATTACTGAAGTCGTTGACGTAACGGTCAATATATGTATTTCTTGTAGTTGCTGCAAATCCCAAGTTGTTTGGTACAAACCGTAGTAACAAGGACTTTCTAACAGATGAAATAGCCAAACTGACGGCCTGTCGGGTACTGTAGTTGAAAATAACTTTTAGAAATTCATCGGAAAGTCCATGTCGAAGTTTGCATAAAAAAGTTATCAAGTGTTTCTTTCTTATATGTCGATCTGATCGGTTATCGTGAGGAATATTATCGCAGAATGTATATAATTCGTCAAATTGCGCTTTTGTTAGTGATGAAATAGACGTAAATTCATCATCTGTAATATTGTTTACATCATCAAACCTATGGAAGCGTTGCGTTGTATTAGCAGCACGAAGACCTTCCAGAAAAGCTAACAAATCCACACCTTTAAAAACGAATGCCCTATGGACAGAACGTAATCCAGGAAGCAAGTACTCCTGAATCAGCTGGCGGTCGGCCATATGTACATCACAACACTTAACATATTCTGGCACATAAATATTGGCTTCAACAAAAATATCAATTCTACAATCCATAGATAACCTTTGTAGAACAACGTTGTATTCCCTATTACAAATCATACAGCTGTTACTTGTAGTTTGAGTAAGAACATTGGTCACGGGTATTATCGTTTAGTCTTTGCAGCTGATTCAAAAATGTGAATATCTATTGCATATGAAGCAATGATCCATAGCGATATATGAATATAATACAGTATATAGTTGAGATGTTTGCTTATATAACAGAACAAAATGAAGTGGGGAGTTGACATATCGTGAGGCTTAATACACGGTTGCGCAAAATCCACTATTGTTACAATTTTTCGATATTTTGACGTTTAATACGTGTATTAAACGTCAAAATGGTAATATGCGCATCCTCCAAAAGCAATAGATAGGTACTCAAAAATTCTTACTCAGCCTCGGTTTTGAGAATAAGGACCCTGGTCCTGATATACACTTAAACAAACAAGCTGTAAGAAATAGATACAAATACATCAAAATAAGAAACAAATCAATCAATAAACTTTCTGCATAGATTAGAAAGGTTCTGGAATAGGAGAGCCTATAAAAGGCAAACTATGGGGGTTACGAAAGTTTTGCCATTTGGACTTTTATTCAGCACGTTAATTTATACAAATTTTGAAAATTTCACAGATTTTCACCGAAACCCAAAATCCCATGCATCCGGTGCGGGGTCCTTTGTCAAAAATTAAAAATATATTTCCATTGCACGAGTTGTATTTAATGCGAGAATTTCATGAATCAAAAATTTTAATTTTTTGTCAAAACACCAGTTCTCGCACCAGTTACTATACAACGAGCTATGCAATTATCGTGAAATTTTTTTGACAGTTCTAACAGCCAGTTAAATTTTGTTATTTCTTGTCGTGTGACACAAATCACCCAATCGTGTCAAAATTATACTGAAAACAACCCATGGGTTGTTTTCACTCTATGACATTGTCACGGACATTGCTGTCAAAAAAATGTCTATCCGAATATCTCTCCAACATTGATAAATGCTCAAAAATTGTATAACAACTTCCTCGAGCTTGTTGCTTAAAGAAAACAGACCTCCGCTAGCGCGTCGGTCTGTTTTCAAGCAACAAGCTTTCGAAATCTGTTATAAATTTTTTTCGGACAATTATCAATGTCCTTGGGCTATTACAACTGATAATTTGCACTAGTGCAAATTCCAATTTGATTGGTTCAAATCAACAATCAAAACATGTTAATTAATTGCTGGTATGTCAGTTTTGACAGATGTATGAATTTCTCAAAACAATAAAAAATTAATACAGTAATTACTAATTAATCAAAAAAGACGCGAAATTTCGCTTGCCATAGCATATTGCATCTACAGATGAAATTTATTTCAAATTATATTGGTCTAATTAGCTCTTTGGCCAAAAAGTATGGAAATCAATCAATGATGGTTGATATACCATATAAAAAAAAAATCGGTACGTTTGGTGCGTTTAACTTGAATGCATTTTCTGTCCGAAAGACACTGTTTTTGAAAATTTAATATTTATTTATCATACTAATAAATTACAAAATCGGGTAACAAATATCCTCTGGACAGTGCTTAGGAGCACTGGTATTAAGGACTTGCACTGTTCGACACGCAGTACCTTATCTAGTTTCCAGAGGCCCAAGTTTCTGTAAAGGTCTTCCGTGCGAGTTAAACGGTGATAATTGAATAAAATCTTTAATATTTTATTCTGCAGGACTTGCATCAGGTTCAGATTTACTTCTTCACAGGTGCCCCAGACAGGAATGAGATATCTGAAGTGCATTAAAAAGAAAGCACTGCATATATTAAGCTTTTTTATTTTATTAATATGAGTCACAAAAAATACATAATTTATTGTACTAAAGGGCCAAAAACAGTAATTCAATGAATAATTTAACTATTTGTGTAAATAAGAACAGTAAATAATTGATTTAAATGAATATATTTCTAGAGTCTAAAGTGTTATAGGCCTATGTTTCAGTATGTCTTTTGAAAATCTAACTTTTTCTTTCTTCGGGATTTTTTCGGAAGGCAAGTCCATTCAAATACTTGAGCTGATTTTCGAAAATAAGAGGTACCTACTTTTAAGAGTTGGACGTTTTAGTTTGAACTCTCGAACTACGCCTTTATTCTTGTTTGTTTCAAATCTAATTATTTCGGTTTCTTCAAAATGTTTACAACACACCACAGAATTTTTCGTTATTGTATAATCTCGGGTATAATTATCTTGGTGTATTGCTTTCATCCACATTTTTTGCACTTCAGAATTTTTTTGGAAATAAAAATGTTTGCATTTCTTCAGTTTTTAAGGAACTCCTAATAGTTCGATTTGCACCCAGGAACACAGTAGTTTCATGGCATCTGGAACAAGTTTAAATATCTTAGGTAATATATCGAGACCTATGCTCTTGCAGACAAATATTAATATTGTTTTTATTGTTTTACCTTACCTTACCTTCATTTTTGATCCTGTACCCATTTGCTAAAAATTTGCAATCAAAGCACAAAGGAACAGGTATCAACTAAATATGGGCAATATATTGGTGTGTTTCTATCCACTTTTTCGTCAATAATGCCCATAAAAATACTAAATTGCAACAATACACAATGAAAGCAATACACAGAAACACATAACCCAATAACAAAATAGCACCATACGCGACGTTGCCGTCATTTCCAATTTCATGGCTTGTTAACTATAGGAGGCTGTGGGTCAAATCTTACGATTCACTTTGACACACTTCCTGTGAACCGATTTTGATGAAATTTGGAAATTTAGAAAAATGTCAACAACGTGACAACATTGTACAGATATTACCTTTGCCAGGATATAAATGTAAATAAAACTGGTAAATTTG